CAGCAGGCCAGATTTGTGCATTTCAAGAAAAAGACAAAACAGAATGCAATCACATCACAATGTCATCATCAAAGTTGATTCAATAAGGTGATTTATCTGTCCTTTTTAAATATTAAATATATATAGTATGATAGCATGAAACTGTAAATCCTATGTATGCTAATCATGCTTGTAGGAGCAGTCCTGCTGGCAAAACTTCTGAACATAGAGACAGTGCATAGCAATAAAAGAGGACTCTGTCTGGTACAGCTTGTACCTTCCTGAAGCAAAGCAAACTATTGGAAAAAAAAACACTTTCTGCTGGTATAACTGTGCCTCAGCCCATTTTTTTGGAAATGGGGTGGAGATACTGGTAAAAAATGTAAAAGATCTCTTTAACAACCAGTATTACAAATCTATTTTGGACTTTACCCTTTATTTAGTGACATAAAATTGTTGGAATCTAATTTTCACTAGTAGCAAAGTCAGTCAGGGAGCAACAAAGGAGCTTTAAAATTCGGGTGAGAATGCATCCATGTTAAGACTTTTTGTGTTGCCATTGCTTCCTTCAGGCTGGGAAGAACCATCTTGCAAAGTGTCAGCATCCTTCATTTTCCTTTTCAAATATTAATTTACTATTGCTTGTCAAAAGACATGGCAGAAAAGCACCAAAAGGAAAAAAAAGAAAAAGAGGAAAGTATTTAACCTCCAGGGGGCATATGGGAGTTGTGGGAAGAACACGAGGCTGCAAAAGAGGTTGCATGATAGATGTGACGGGGTCTGGGAGTTGACTTAGCACCGCACACTAAATTTAAAGTGGTGAACTGAGGACACGAAGGACGGGGAAAAACAGTGCAGAGGAGAAAGATTACATCTTCAATGGACTTGATTAAGAAAATAAGGCTCTTACAAGGTCATAAAAGAAACAAAGAGCAACAATCAGTGATGGAAATGAATGTGAAAGAAGCTGAAAGAGCTACCAGAACAGCTGGGTGATGTGCTATAGGTAGGAGAGAGTGGACAACCTCATGGCACCCATCCATACACAATAGTTACTGAGAGGCCTGGAAATGCTCAAAATATCCCCACTTTTTAAGTAACTTAGTTGATTCAGTGAAGGCCCCAGTTCAGAATTATTTGTAACTAGTGAGAATAATGAGTCAGAGCCTTCATCCACCATAATTTCCAGCTCAGTGTATTAATTGTCACTGGCATTTTGTGTTAACATGTTGCTCAGAAAAAAACAGACAGCGGCTCAGCCATCCCCGCTGTGGGCAGTGGCAGAACTTCCAGCTGGAAACACCTTAAACTGCTCTGCCAGTCCACAGAGTCTCGGAGCAGAGCCCAACAGGTCTGAGGCACAGGGTTTCCGTCTTTTTTAAATGACCTCAGCAAGAGGGCTTTCACTCCTTCTCTCTGAAGACTAATTCACAGTCTAAACATGCTCACTGTGAGAAAGCTTTTTCTTCTATGCAACATTTTATCGTTAATAACTCAGTGTTATGCCTGTCCTTCGTTACTTCTCTGTCTTCTCTAGGGAACTACTAAGGAGCGTAGCTATTAGTGGATTGGCAAATGCTAGTATAGACAAAATTGCCTGAATTTTCACGTATTAATTGGGTGAGTAAAGCACTAAAATCTTGGCCAACATATTAAAGCTGCAGCTCCCTTTGTCATATAAGAATATACCATTAATAACCATATTAGAGTCTTCCTTATTTTATGTGTACTTTAAGTGGCTTAGGAGTACAGGTTGCTTTTTTGAAAGTGTTTATACAGTAATTCTGCTCTTTCCTCTTCTTGGAACTTTTGTTGCTATTAGTGCGGTTTCCTCAGGAAACAGTCTATGAGTTATTACTGTCTCTCTGTTAATCTCTCCAAACCCCAGACCAATTTTTGTTTTGCTAATCCAGTACTACCAAATGCCTGAGGTCCAATCCATGTCCTAGAAGTTTAATAGAAAACACTGGCCAGATAGTGGAGAGACTATAATGATGTGAATGCTGAAGACAAGACAGAGAAGAAAGCTCAGGCTTTAGCTGAGCCATTTGGCACTGCCTGACTGGACAACCATGAGTAAGAGGCAAACACTCAACACTTCCACGCCGTTTTCTGCTTCTTGTCCAGCTGTCAGCATGGGAGAGGAGAGAAAAAGAGACAGGCAAATAGAGAGAGATATAAGAAAGAATCTGAAACCAATGTAGAAAGAAGGTGCAGCAGATGTGAGAGAAAACTGAAAGAAGCAAGACCTTGACGTAGTGACTGGGACCTTGAAATAACTGAAGATATTGCAGGGAAACATGCAGATTATATTATAGAAGATTTAGGTAAGGGTATGGATTGACGGAACATAGGAGGTGGTAGGAAACCAGGTCTGTTAGTTCAGCTGTTCATGAACAACATGTCTACTCCCTTCCATGCACCATAGTGGATATATTTGACTTAGACTTAAGAAATGCTCATGTGTTGAAGTGTTGTATACAAAACCTTAATCTGGAGAGATCACTTGCAGGCAAGTTTCATATGTCTCCAGTGGTGTCTTTCAAAGTGAAATCAACACTGTTCTGTTAATTGAGATGTGACTGAGTATGTAACAACACATTAGGATGTTACTTATTGCAGATTATTTTAATGCGTTGAACTCCATGTCACTTTCTGAAAACTACCAGTCTGTTGAAGAAAAAGCCTAAATGTTTAACATTGCCCACAGAGCTAAAGTTCAGAGATGAATCATAAATTCAGTGTGGCCCATTGAAAGGCGAACTGTCTACAATTTCACAGAACAACTATCCCCTTTCTCTGGAGCAGATGACAGCTGCAGGGCTCTTGATGATTCCCAATGAGGACAAACATGTCTGGGGTGTCTGTTTCAGCAGCTGAGTGTGGAAGCCCTCAAATAGCACCTATTTCACTGCACTGCCTCCAAGGCATTTATGCAACACACATTGCCAATACGACATTTAAGTCACATAACAACAACTCTGTTGGATAAAACTTCATCTGTGTACCTGCTCCAAAGGAGAAGTTGACTGCAAACTACTGATTGAATTAAGTGGGTGTCTGCCTTGCAGATTTTCATGACTGTGCAGTACATTTTCTTAGCAATTATAGGTTGGAAAGAATCACTGGGGTCTGCTCCGGGTTCTGCAGATGCAGAAGCCTGTTTCACTGCAATATTTGTGCCAGTGTTGTCTGAGAGTCCTGGAGACACCTGTGCAGAAGCCCCAGTTGCCATATCCAAAAGCGATGGCCACACAAAGCACTAGTTTGAGACATTAGTAGAAGGATTCTGTATGGCTTCCTCTCCACAAAAAGGGAAAACAAATTTCATGCATCACTGCTTCAGAACTTTATTGCAACCAAACAGAAAACACCTGGAACACAGCACATGAAAAAAAACCCACTAGAATGCCATGATTTTTGGATGGAAGACACTGTACTTGTCCTGCTAGGTCATGGTAGTCCTACTGATGAACAGCTGTGTGTGTGTATGAGGGGCAGGGAAGAAGGAGGATGGAGTAATATACAGTGTAACAAGACTGCTGAATACTGAAAATTGGTTAAGTCCTCGGTAAATTTATGTTCTGATAAAATAATTTCAGCATATTTACACCCCATGATTTATAGAAGTTTTTAGCAGCAGTGAAAGTAGCATCATGTAAATTTTACCCACATTCCAAATGTGTTAGCCTGCACAAATCTGTTTCTTGTTCTCTCTGTTCCTAAATTACATGTTGCCACTACACTTACCACTTGCTAGCATTAATACATAGAATGAGTTGTTTCATTCACATTTACACAATGTATATAAACAGAAACCTAACAGAATCAACTGAGCTATACATGTCTTCAAGGCACAGCAAACAATGTTACAACATGGTACATTTTACTTGCCTTGCTAAGCTGCCTACATAAAGATGCACTATAGAAAATGACACCTCATTAAATACATTCTTCTCCTTCACCTACTCTTTACACAGGCATTTACCCTAGAAACATTTTTCCTTTGAATACTCGGCACTTCTATAGAACACATGTTGCAAACACTGGAAGAGAATAGCTTGCAGGACAATCAGCTTCAGATTCGTGCTTGCAAGCAGTTCAAAAACAGTGGCAAAATCTACACTTGGGTTTTTTAACAGCCTACAAGTTTTAAAAGCCCGTGACACATTCTAGAGTAAAATTTCGGTTCAACATAAAAAATATAAAAATATTATCCTATTTTTCACTGAGAGGAAAACGTCATCTGACCAGCAGATCCAAAATAAGAACTTCATGTAACATCCTAGCCAGCCATTCACAGCTGCCAATGATGTATACCATAAAAGCCTTACTGCTCACATCTGGACAAGGCACAGCTGCATCTGTGCTCAGAGTCTGTCTCCAGTGTGAGTCTGGACTTAACCACAACGACTTTTGCTAGAGCTGGACTGGAAAGTGGGAGCACAAGGAATCACAGTGCAAAGATAATCCAACAGCCCCTATCTGCAGTGCCACACAAATACTGTTAGATGCTTTCTGGATTTTCACATCTGGAGGCATTACACTCCACTATGTGAATTTACCAGTGGGCTGATATTGTTAATTCAAGGATCTCCATGTCATGATTACAAGAATGGCATAGACAGACTCAAGAATTTAATAATTGATATTTTACCTTGCTACTTTTTAAAAACACATATTTGTTAAAGCAGTGCAGGTCACAATGCAGATGTGTTTACATGGCTTGTATTTGACTTCCAAACTGCCAATATTGTATACCATGTCATTGTCAGGTAGGTTGGGGATTGAAGTCAGTCATCAAAAGTATAGTGTATTCTGAACCTTAGTCATGATTAGAAATTATTCCAACCACCAAAATACTTAAAATCTTAGCCTTTGTTTAATACCTTGAGTATATAAGAGATTCCATTCATATACCTCTATCTCTAATGGTAAATGATTATTGAATTCTTTTCAGTAATACAAATTCACCTGAGGCAGGTGAGAGCTCAAGGCATCATACCACTGTTTAAACTCACCTTCCCAAAGCTGGCAGCATTAACAGGTTGCGTGTCATTTTTCTCACAGAAGTCCAAGTAATGCATGTAGAGCGCACTTCGAGGAATGCAAACACCTTCTGCAATCTCATAGTTCTCCTCCAGCCTTAAAAAGCAAACATCACACAGAGAGAACTGCAAGTATGTTGGATGTCCTGTATGGCAAAGAGCATGCAAAGCTACATCTTGAAGACCAAACAATTCAGTTTCTGCTTGTCTACTGAATTTTCTCTGCTTTGTTCCCAAGTGCTCCTTCCTATTCACTCCCATAATGTCTACTTGCTTCATTTGGTTCATACTCGCTATCAAAAACAGAGGCTGTGAGTTCTCAGGCAAGTAGAGTTTAGCACAAAGGGATGCTGGGTTTTGACCACACTCCAAAGTGTTATTTTTAGGATAAAATATACTAGTGATCTTTTATACCCTGACAGCATCCTGCATTAAAAAAATACATGTACAACTACGAAACCACAAACATTCCCTGAGGAGAAGCATTCTCTGATTCTTTACAGGACAGGTCATGTTTGGTTCATGACACTCTTTTCACTCCTGTCCAGCTGCAAAATTCCTTACCTTGAGGAAGCAGATGTGGCTAGAGCAAATTATTTGCAAATACTCAAATGTGTGCACAAAATCATATCTGTGTAACATTTTCTTGCTATTGCTTTTGGACAAAGCAAAAAAGAGTCCATGATCTGAATACAGTGCTGAATAAAATAGTGAAATAACGTCCTCCTCTGCCTTGCAGAAACTATTATTATTCATTTACACATCCAAACACATGACTATAAAGTTTTAAGTTATGCATCAAATATATGAATGGGCATATGATTCATCTTTCAAATCTGAAATTGGACTCATTATAAATCTATAGATTAAAATAAAAATTCCTTTGAAATGACATTTTAATGATTGCTGATCCAACCAAGTTCAAGAGGTATTTATATACACACTTAAATTTAAACCATAATGAATCTTATCATCCATGGTGTCACTCATGCATACGTAGTTATGTGTGTGTTTGTCTGCCTTGCTGGCTAGAAGGTAGGTGCAACTTCCTCTTAAATGTATTAGAAAATTAATACATATTCTCAAAAACCTTCACTTTTACAGTAAGTAACCCTGTCATTTGATAGCTGTAGAACACTTTCCAAATATCTAGTTTCTCTCCTTCACTGCCTTTTTCAGGACCTAGCTCCCTACTTTCCATTTCAGTTATCGTGATCATTTGTGACTGCAAAGTATTTTAATAAGATATCCGGCTAGATGAATGGAATCAGTTTGTATGGGCAACATCCATTCTTCCTTGGTTTCTACAGAAATATCATCACGGCATCTTTCCTCAAATTCATAGCGCCTTAACAAAACCTCCTTTCAAAACCTGGAGAGTTCGTTTGTATACTATAGCTGCTAATTGGAATGTCAGCTTCCGTGACCAAGACAGGACAGAAAGAAAAGCAGTTAATTATTTCTGCTCATATCTGATGAATTTTTCTCTTTTTCTCCTCTCTTTCACAGAGAGTCATTAGCCTGACACTGAACAATGCTCCATTATACCTGAACTTTTTTTTTTAATGATCAAAAACTCCATCTTGCTCCATTTCTTTTATTTTCCTGTCTTTTATTTAACAACTTTATCATATTTTGAATTCAGCTTCATTCTACAGTATTATAGAAAGATAATGAACTCAATCTTCTACCTAACTAATCATTATCAGAAATAATATATATATAACATTTTAAATGTCCTAATAAAGCCATGTGAAATCCAGTAGTTCACAATAAGACCTTTTGTACCACTACCATATAGCAATAAAACCCATATTCCTTCAAGAGGAATGAGGATTTTATCTGTCCCTATTACTGTTTCTCTCTTCATACTTGTATACTTCCAGATTAAATTAAATTATTCTATAGCAGGTTTGGGTTTGTGGTGGTGTTACAGACCTGGGTTTAGATACGAAGGCAACAAAAAACCTGTGATGTTACCATTGCTAATCACATAAAGGATTCTAGAACAGATTCATTTTGATGCATTGTAATAATTTCTGTGAAACTACTCATGTGGAGACAATCCATTACCTAGAAGTGCTTCACCTTCCTCTTTTTTAGTTCTTTTTTGTGAGTGTTGCAATAAATAGAATAGTTTTGTTGACTTTAGCTTCACAATACTGTTCGGAGCACCTAGACTGTAAGCCACTAAACTGTATGGAATTAGGCTGTCCATACCTTGAATAATACCGTGTTTAGAGAAGTAGACACATGCACACACACACACACAAAATTGAGGTAAAATAAAGTTTCACACCTACAATTTGGTCACCTGGTTCACCAGTGAAATAATCATAAATGTTTTAAAGCCAAGTGTTTAGCAAGCTTTAGCTTTACAGAAAATAACAAACACAGGAAGGTGGGATAAGCACAGGATACTGAGGATTGGTATATTCACGCCTTAACAGTTAAATTCAAGCTTGCATAGTTTCCCCAATTATGATGTAATTGGCAGTAATGCTACATTTACCAGGCCTTTCGCTTCATCTTGTGTCATCAGTGAAACAAAACAAAAACATCATTCCTGTTTCCAGGAAAAGGATATTCAGCCAGGCTGACAGGCATCCAGACACGCTTCTTGGCATCTTCAGCTACTTCTTCCTCCTTCCCATTTGCAGCATTCGATGTGCTTTGCCTTTGGAGAGGCGTAAGCATTAAGGATGGATCCCCATGGGACCGATGTTGTTCACTCTTTTCAGCAAGATGCCAGACAAGGAATAACTGATAAAGTTGCTAGCAATATGAACCATGTGACAAAATATACATATCTCCCTTATGTCTTGCTTCACTTTCCCTGCTACTTTCTTCCAATTCTTTTTTCTTGCTACTGACATTTACTTGGTTTCTGTTCTCCAACACCCTATTGCCCTCATTAGCTCTAAATGACAGCAGCATCTAACAGTAAAAACATAACCAGCTTTAACTTGGCAGGTACCAGGCACTGCAGACAATCGTGGTGCTCCTATGTATCAGAACAAGGCAAGTTTGGTACCTAATCCTGAAATCTGGTCAATAATTCACCCCACCACTTCCACCACTTGAATCTGGCCCAGAGATTCCAGTAGGAGGGTAGGACACTTGCTTACCCGGGGCATATTCAGGTAGATTTAGTCTTTTGTCTTTCTTCACTGTGTAAAAACGTGGTTTACGGCCTCAGTAGGCAAAACTGTCAAACATGAAAGCTAAATCTATAGAAAGAGCTCAGAGCAGTAATTTTTACAGTGCTGACCACAATAATTTACTGACCCATGGGTTGCTGGTACAAATAACCTGATGCCAGTATGTCTTTTTTTTCCAGAACAGTAGAAATGTGACTAGTAATCTTACTATTTTAGCAGTCTGATCACAACTTTTGAGCTTGTAGTTTTATTTAGTGTATCATATCCAGTATAACAGTTTCTCCAGGAAATATCAATTCAAAGCTGCAGTACATAGGCTGAAAAACATGTGGAAACCACCAGAAAATTGTTCTATGGTACAGCTGCTAAGCTGGGACACTTTTACCTACAGATCTATTAATAAATGAGCCAATTGTATAATTTAGTTTGACGTGAGCCAAAGAAACTAAATTTGAAAACTTCTTTGCTTTCTGTTCCCTCATTTATTATTGGTGGAAAATTGAATGGAAGAGATTGCAAATGCTCCAAAAGACTCCAAGGGGAGAATATCTAACCTATATAAATGTGTAAGAAACATAACACAACAGACAGGTAGTAAGCCAGGACACTAGCAAGGAGGGAGGGAAGATTATGTAAGCAGTCTTTTCAGAATCAAAATTCTAGGTTTCTATTGCAAACACTGCTGAATGAGCGTTAGCGTGCACACCACATTCCAGCAGGGCTCAATATCCCAGGAGTTTAGGGATTTACTAACCTATATGACTGAGGAAGCTTGAAAGTATTTGGCAAAAGACTGTTTACAGTATTTGCATGTTTTCTGTTGGGAACAGTATCGTTGGCATGTTCTAATTAACTCTGACTTCTTGGCTACTACGTTATTTGCTCCTGTGGAAAAGAGTCTTAACTGACTCTACTGCAAAATAAACATGGTTCTGAATCTGGGACTGGTAAGCCCTGTGTGCTATTTTATTTTGGCCAGACAGTTCTTTGTTAACCTGTTTGAATTGTATTGAAGTTATGTGGGTGAATAATGGAAAATGATAAAATACCTCCATGACATTTTACTATTATTCTAATAATTTTCTGTCTGTAGTAATTCCCTTTCTTTATTCACTTAAACTTCTGAAAAACGGCACTTTTGTGATACAAATAGGTACAAAGAAGAAATAGTTCAGAACTAAATGCCTTTATTTATAGTTACCCATCTCATTATTTGCACTGGAAGTGTCTGCATGTTTCTTTAAGGCAGAACACTCAATACTTACAGCAACCTATTCTCAATCAACCCATAGATCTTGGGCTTTCTAAATCTAAAATTTAACTGATGATCTTTAAAAAGCAAATATAGATTAAATAATCCAAAGCTCTTTTTGCATATTTCACAGAATCACAGAATTTCAAAGGCAAAGAAAAAGAGTAAAATTCACTGAACGAATGAGTCTTTCCTTTCGGTTCAGTTAGATCTCCCAAGACACTGACAGAAACAGAAAAATAATTCTGCTAAAAACTTCACCTTTTTGCCAATAATACTATCTTTTCATCCAGAAAACTATGAGAGTTACTTACAGGTGAAGTAAAGGCCATTCTTTAAAAGACTTAAAACAAGCTAAGGAGTTTGGGTTTTCAGATAAGCATGCTCCAAGGCTTGTCTGTAACAGAGCTGTTCCACCAGATACACAGCACCTCACGAAAGATGCTTGATCACTTACAGTATTAAGAAAGCTAAACCAGAATTAAAAATCTAAATGAAGGGAGAAGTCAACAAAAGTCTAAAAGATAACCTATAGAAAGTGATGTCAGAAGTATAAGTAACATTACAGAACACACATCCTAAAACACTGTTGTAAATCACAGTGAACAGAATTTGTTGATTTTTTGCAGCACAGTAGACTGACTCACGAATATTGCTCTCCCCATTCTCTCTTTCTCTCTTCCTAATGACCCTTCTTTTTTTCTCCTCGCTAAATTTGCAAGGAGATTTTGACAAATGAATCAAACGCCAAACTCTCCTGTTTTGTTGTCTTCTACATTAAATTACAGAGATCTCATTTCAGTAAAACAGTAAAGGCAGGCTTCATCATACACTGAAACAAATGTGAGTCTTGAAAAAAAAATCTCAGTACTAGTTTCCTTTTAGTAATAAATATATCAGTGATGACAAACCACAAATCAGCAGCCGGCAAGGTGGCAAACAAATACGCCAAGTACACCTTCTGAACTATATCAGAGTTTTCCTATGTTCAAACAAATCCCGTAAGAGTAAGACATTTGTTGAGAAATGGTGTACAGGATCCTAATGAGCAGATTAAACACATACAGTGAAAGCATCTTTAGAACTTAGAGGTCCAGGACCTCTATTCTCTTCAGCAGGAGGAAAAACACTAGCAGGTTTTCTTAAAATTTTTAAAAAGGCATCTTACCATTGCAGTGTAGCTGGGGTTGAGTGTGGTTTCGATGCTCTATTATTTTCCTTTTCCTCATCTGTTAAGAAATAAAAAAATCCTATGTAATTTCTGTGGCAATTGCTCAGGCATTATGAACTGGTAAGGAATTATCTGATTAAAAAAATGTTCTCAAGTGCCAAAGCTTTCTCAAAATACTGGCTAAGTTGTGGAAATATAAGTAATGATGTTCCCTAAGCTAGCATCCACAGATACTGCTTAAGGCAATAAACCTTGCAAACATCACTGATAGCAGGAGCAGACTGGTGCGTAGGAATAATGATATTGGAAAGGATACACTTATATGAAAAAAACCCAACTCTTAGACCTTTAGCAGCATGTTAGAACATGAAAACACTTTCATCTGCTTTAAGGGAACAGTTGCTTTACCCAAGTTTTGTATTAGATGAGTCATTGAACCTAATGGGGTTTATCGATTGTTGTGATCCTAATATATGATATGTATTAGATGTTTATGAATTTACAAGGATTAATTCTGAACAAGAAAAATTTAAATGAAAAACATTCTATAATATACTTTATTTAATTTTAAATATTTTTTCTGGTAGTATTCCTTACTAACTCTTTTCAAAATAACTCTGCTGACTTTCCAAAAATGTGAATAAAAGATGAATAAAGAAAAACATAATTAAAATAAGTCTTAAAATATTAGATTCTTCCTAGGTCATGTTAGTTCTTTTAAAAAAAATTGAAAGTATATATAGAATAATTCATATTAAATTGTGATTTGTGAAGCATATAAAACATTCCTAGATGAAAGCTGGAGTGAAGCACAATCAGCATCTCCAGAAGGGTATTCTTTGGGAAACACTGTTGTATCACAGTTTGCTATTTTAACTTTGTCCCTGATGAAAGCAGTAAGTGCAGAAAGCTTTGATACCCAAACAAGGAGGTAAACCACTGCACATGTACACAATGCTGCAAGTCTCATTTCTTCATACAATTAACTTTTAGAAGTTATTTAAGCAAGCCTTCAGGATGCTGAACCTTAAGGGAGCTGGAATATATTCTCTGAACATCAGACCCCATTGGGAGGCCTTTTGTGCAGTCCCAAGAATGGGCACACACAAATAAAACCTGACTTCAGAAAATGCTGTCTTCAGCCCTCATGCCACAGTATTTCTTCCATTACATGTAGGGCAAGTTATGTTAACTGAACTTCCTTTAGCCTGCGAGGCTGGTCCCTTGAATGTCAGGAAAATCCAGATTTAGCGTTACCCACAGACACTGCTAGCAGCCCCTCTTCTGTATCTGCATGACAATAGGCCTCTAATTATTGGACCGCACACTCCTTCCCTGCCTTTCAGGGGCCTGTTTTTATTCAGCACATAGGACCAACATACACATTTCAAATCACTTTTAAATTGTGCTTTTCATTTGTTTTTCCTAAACAAACCGTCTGCATGCAACAAACCCTAGGCATGCAGGGCTTGAATGCTGAGCGGCCATGGCTGCCGCAGGCTGCTGACGCTCAACAACAGCCCCCGGCCTCGCCAGCGGCAGGACAAATGCCTTCTCTCTAGCAGGAGGCAGAGTTGTGCAGCATGGATTTAAACCACTGGGTTGATAAAATAGCTGGGGCTTGTCGCCCCTCACAACATTGATTGCTTTGCCCTTCTCCTTAGGTGACAACACAGGCACCCTAAGAGCATGCCTGACTTCCCAAGGAGCAGCTTGGGGAGGAGGGGGCAGCCATGTCTGCCCCTGCTCTGAGGTAGAAAGAGTCTCCTGGCTTGGGATTCATGGTCTTCCAGGCAACAGGGGATGAGGGAGCCCAGCTTGGCTGGGAGGTGGGATAGCATCTGCAGCCACCGTGGAGGGGGCAAGGGGCAGGTGGCCTGACCAGAGTCCGGTCCAGTCCTGCGTCCTTCTGTGGCTTCCCTGTTGCCCAGGCCAGGGAAAAAATAGGCAGCAGGGCTGGGAGGGAGTTATGGCAGCTCCCCAGGCTTGGGTCACAGGGCTGCAGCAGCTTCCTTCACCCATGAGCAGGCTGGCCTGGCTTGCCAAGGGTGCCCAGCAACCTCCCATCCATTCCTGAAATAGGCGTGGAAGGGGACTTATTACAAACAGTACATCTCAGCAAACTGTTGCAGGGGATATATTTCTGTCTTGGGGAGGAATCTCCTCTGCTTTAGTACTGAAAATTTCAGCTGGCAGTCCTGGGGGTGTGGCAGGGCTTCCCAATGGGAACCCAAAACACAGGGCACTCCAGTGCCTTTCTGCTGACCAGAGGGATTCAGGCCCTTGCTGTTGTGAGGAGGGAGACACTGCAGCCAAAGCTGCTGCCATTAGGTATCAGCAACATGTAGAGCCCCAGTCTTCCTCCTGTGCCCCACTTTCTTCTTGTTCAAATTAAGGGTATTGCTTCCCAGGTGAAAGCCATCCATTTTCCTTATCAGTATTTTCTATGCCAGTGTCAAAATCCGCTGCGTTAAGTTCACTACACAGCTGTTTCTACCTCATAGGAAATTGCTAGGGACATGCAAATTGGGAAGCCACAGGTCTAAATAACTGCTCATCTAAGTAAGGTGCAGAAATCTTAAACTACCTCTACCTGTAAAACCAAGAGGTACTACTCCCTCCTCCCCAGAATAAACCTTTTTATTACCTTTCTTGATTTAAGGGGGTTAGTATTCAAAAGCCTGTTATTAGATGGCTTTCATTTGCGCTAACTAGATTTCATTTTTCCCAGATATGTGGTGCTATCAGACTAAATTACACAGCCTTAGAGTCCCTACATTCCTTCCATGCCTCCCCCCAGCTGTTGTTCAGTCACTTTAAGAGTAAGCACCTGTTTTACCTAACCTGCCCTCAGACACACTACAAGCCAGCCATACTCAGCTCCTGCCATGTAAGGATTTGTTTTAACAACACAAACTAACAATAAGATCATGAGCTGCAATTTAAATCCCCCTCCTCAGGTATGTCTGCTTCCTGGGAATTCTTCTTCAATACTCTTCAACATCTTCGACTAGCTGTCCTTTAAAACTAAGAAGGAGAATGATGGACTTTGATCTTGAAAAGAAGTGAGAATTGAACACAATTTTCCATCAGAATATTTACCCAGAGAACAACTGGATTTTCAAGAAAACTAAAATCCTCAGTTAGTGTTGCTCTCCCCCTAAATCAAGTCTGTACAAGAAAACACAACTTTGTTTTGCTTTGTTTTCTGCCAATTAACCAGCTATCAGCCAAAGTTTTTCTCACTTTCACTAGGTTTTGGACAGAATATTATCAGAAAACCTTCACTTTTTTGTTAAATAGATGGAAAGAATTGCACATGGTATAGGAATGTAGGGAACCTAGAAATACAGACTTTCGGTATTATATATACAAACATTTTATACTATGTTGCCTCATTTAACTATATGCCTCATTAGATAATTGACCAGCAGAAAATAATAACTATCCTTATTCCTTGTGGTTTCACTGGTAGCAGTGCACTTAATGGCTTCCCTATTGAGCAGAGAATGTTTTGTGTAACTCTTGACTCAGGTCTGACACTAGATCTCTTTGTACAGCATGGAAGAGGTAAGGAATGCTGTTTTCCTTTACTTATTGACCTATCATTTTATCAGTCCCCATCAGAACAATGCTGTACAATAAAATGAACCTGTACCATTTATAATTTAATACTTCTAAACCCCAATTTTGTAAAGAAAGGAAATAAAGACACTGAAAAGAAGCCTTGCTTCAAGGCACAGTCCAAGAACAGAGCTGGCAATTCTTCTGTGAAAAACATAAAAGGACTTGAAGTCATGAGGAAAAGTCCTGCTCCTCATGCACAGCTGCAGGTGGTCGCACATATGGCAGCTTAAACTTATTTGCCAGGAGCAGATCCAGGGTGTTTGCTCCATTGCCAGTAGAAGGACTACCAGCATTCCAAGAAAAGGTATCTTCAAGGTACCTGGTTAGGTAGGAAACCTGGTACTCATCCCAAGCTGAAAGCAGGAAATAACTTGGGCAGTTACAAGTAAAACTTGCAGCACAGAAGAGGCCTTCAAAGATATTCAAAACTGGGATAATCTATGTGCTAGAAAAACAGATTTCTTGGCTCCCAGAGATATCACAGAATGTTTTTCTTCCCAAATTTGATGAAAGTTTCATTGCTAACAGCTATTTTTCCTTTCAAAATTCTGTTTCAAAGCCACCAGAACAGTGTTGTGTCTGTACATTGTGCATATGTTTGTGGCTTTCCCTGGACTCTCAGTAGTATCCTTTAACTTCTGCTGTCTGGTTTTAGGTCCAGCTCAAAATATTTCTTGCTTCTTGGAGCAAGGCATGGAGAAAATAGGAGCTTTGCTCAGCACCCCTTTAAGTATTGTGCCTTAAACACAGTAAATAGAACATCCACAAAGTGAAGACCCTGCATTAGTACACATTTTTTCTAAAATGTTGACATTAGTCTGTTTGTCATAACTGAAGTGGAGTTAAAGCTCTACTTTCCACTGTAGATGTCCCATACTTTCCAGAGCTGCCTGCATGTGTCTCAAAACCACTGAAGAGCTAACACATTACTAGGATAAAATCCTTCCCTTAGTCCAGGTAGCTCCACACCTTTCCTCTGTAGCCTCTGCAGTCCAGGTTCTGAGAGTTCTCAAAAGTGATTTGCCCCTAGCTAAAATTAAGTGGTACTAAGAAGCAACCTGGTCTCTTACTTGCATGTAGCTATAAATAAGATTCAGACTCATTATCATGTATTTCATGCTTTTAAATTTGTGGGACTTAAAAACCTTCTAAGAAACATGGGAGCATGGTTTCTAATTGAGTAGCTATGATTGAAAAAGAAAGACTTTTCCCCTTGGAAAATTTCAATGAAATCAAGTAGGTTTTTCTAACCTTTTCGGAAGAATAAGAGGTTTAGTTCAAACAAAAAAAGAAACTATTGGGTAAATCTTCCAAATCTTGCCAGTTTGAACATGGATTTTGAATCTGCTTTTGAAGTACAAAAAGTAGTCTGAACCTTTTATTTTATCTCACATTTCTAACTCTGAAAAATAATTTGGACAAGCAACCCTTCCACATCATCATGATTTCTTCCCCAGGGAACTGAAGTTGAAAATTTTGTAATCCTTGAATTGTCTTTTTCCTTCTTCTTTCTATTTCAATCTGGAGAATCAGGCTCAACACAAAGTACACAGAAAATGAGATTTATTTTTTTTTTAATTATTAGATATGAGGTTGTACCATTCCGTTTTCCTGTGGCTCTTGTGACTAACATGTAGAGTGTGGAATTGGTGGAAGGAAGAATGTTTACAAAACTGGAAACTGAAATAAAATTTGCCTAGAATTTTTATACTAAAGTATAAATGCTGTGTTTTAGGCAAGGTCATAAAAGAGTTCCAAGAGGGTAAGAAGCACCCCAAGAAGAAATGAGACCATGGAAATCCACAGCTGTGAGTCATTGCTTCCCTTCGCAATGTAATACAGGTTCAAAAGGCCTGGAGGTGTCTGAATGAGAATAGGAGATTGCAAAGGACGCCTGTGGCCTGCAGCCTGAAGTATGGTTCTATAGCATACTCCCACTATAGAAAAGAAGATCAGCAAAACTATTACTCTTGTCCTAAACCCCTATGAACTCTAAGAACATCCAGGAAAAAATAGTCACAAGAGCAAGCATGACATTGCGTAAGAACATTATCAGTTCACAGTGCAAATTCTCATAGTCTTCACTGGATGCAAGGCCAAGAAAACCAGCAAAAAAACCCAACCAAACAAAAAAAACCCCACCATCAAAGCCACATTTTCTCTGGTAGAGTCCAGCCAATGTATTTAGAGACAAAAAACTAAGTAGTTAGGAGAAACATGAATGATGCCTTCTTTTGTCTGCAGATGAAAACTGAAGCTCCATTTACAACAGCAATTTGACCACCGTTCTAAAGAATTAAAATAGGGTTACGTAGGTTTTCTCAAAACATTTTGCCTCCTGCTGTTTGTAAATGTATGACAGAGGCTGGACAATAAGTGACACAATGGTTTGGAGATTTCTGGTTGGTGTGTGGGCACTTAAAGAAATGTTAGAAAGAACTCAAGGGCTGGAAAGGAGCACATGGGAGAATGATTTCTAAGATGAAACTTCTGGTTTGTTCTGGATTTCACAGACTATTGATCTTCTTGCTGCTGGGCAAGTGGCTTATTTTTCTTTCCTACTTCCTCCTTTTCACCCTCTCGCCTGTCCCTTACCCCCAAAACAAAGGTGACTTTTCAGGTGGATTGACTCTCTTATCTGCACTGCAGAAATGCTGGTATCAGTGCAAAGGAAGCATCTGGAAGAACTGGCTATTAAGAGGGCAGCTAGATGAAATCAACTCTAACTCTCATTTGTGTTTCCATTAAATACTGTGACAATGTCTTTGTCTGCACACAGATTGTAGGAAAATTAAGTTATATAGTTGTTCTATCAGTTCTAAATTTGCTGTCTTTCATTAGTGTTGCTTGTCTCCTAAATCCAGTACCAGAAAACAAATTAACAACCATCCTATCTTCTCGATGCCATGGTCTGAAATACCTGCTCTTGCTAACCCACACAGTTCTGCTTCTTACTCTCCCCAGGTATGTGGAAGTTTTCATGCTCACATTTAAACTGAAAGCACATATAACAAACTACCACTAGTTTTGCTACAAACCTACTTAGGGAAACAGATCTAGAAGAGAACATAGAAGAAGACTTATGATTTTATATATATATATTTGTATATAGTTAATGGTGCTAATTAGCTTGACAATACTGTGAGTCTAAGGAAAAGCTCAGTGAAGTCAATAGGGTTGAATCCTGAATTTGGACCCTATTAAGGGTCTGAAGTCACATCTCATTCATTAAAGATTTTGTCCATCACTTTCTCAGTAGCATCAGACTGAAATGAATTTTGTAAATCTGATGAGTTCTCTTAAAATGCAAACTAACAAGCAGATGCTTTTTGGTTTTCACTACAATTCATTACAATTTTATTTTTAAAGAGAAACTGATTTTTAATTCCTTCACTTTAAAAAACCTTTCTGAGTTTGGTGGCTTTTTTTTTTTACCCAGATCTGTCCAAGTTTTATCGTCTGTTTGAAAGAATTCTTATCCACTGTTCTAAGCTTGGGAGTCATTAATAAAGATCATGTTTCTAATACCTCTTCTCTCCTTCAGAAGAGCTACTGCCCCAAAAGAGAACCCTGAAAAAATAAGAGTAGGGCCTCTGTATAGCAAATTGCGGGATCTACTAGAACACCGTGCTGCAAGGCATGTAATTTTACTGTGACATCAAAAAAAGTAGTTCTCTTAAAATGCAAAAAAATGTAAAAGGGACATTCAGCAATTAAGAAGTGATTAAAAATACATTTTCTAAACTTATGTTCTTGAATATTACAAAAATGCAAGTTTTTCTGAATTAAAGAATTAGGTCTGGAGTAATGTCTTGTAACATGAACTAACATATGAAGTACAGAGAGGAAAACTAACATGAGTATTTTGCTTTAGGTGAACTAAGTAGAATGGAAAGTGTATAAACAGGGAAAACTAAATAGTAAATGAAATATTGTTTTACAATTTTAAAAAGAAATTAAGTATTTCGGTGTCTTTTTAATTACCTGCCACCATTAAAAATCAAGACCTAAAATTACTATAACTAGAAGAGATAAGAAAAAAACAGATATTTTAAAATCAGCTAGATTTATAATTGTTTCCTCTCCATGACTAAAATGAAAGCAAAATCATTATTTAATGTGATTTTTTTTAATCTGATGATTGTTTAATGAAGATTTTATATGTATGATTTGATATAACAGTATTGAAAAACAGCATAATTGTTCCTATATTTCAACCACATGATGTGCACCACTGAAAAGCAAAACAGATGGTTTTACTCATGAGCTAATACTAACAGCACATTTTAGAGGTCATCCAACCTTTATTCAGTGACACACTACTTCTGGTTGCTTTAACTAATAGATAGTATTACTTTCTTTTAAATCATGCAAAATAGCAAATATTAAACAAAATAACCCCAAACATTAATAAAACTATTGGATGTATCAGTGAGTTGACTCTTCAAACTACAGAGTACCAAAAATATCACTGAGATGTAGCAACATACAGCAGGAAATTAGCATTTGGACACGTTCAGACTAATTTTAAATGAATGGCGAGTTACTTACTTTCATCGTTACAAACATTCCCCAGAGAGGTGTGACTGGAATAACGTTTGTTTTCACTTTCATTGAGACATCGTTCAATCCAACTCTCTGCAAAAGAACAAAGATGCCCTTTTTTTGGTGTTTGTCTTTGCATAAAAAATAAACTTCCAACACATAAAACTAAAGAAAGCACCGGTTTTCAACAGATGGTGTTGTGTAGTGTTTCTGTTAAAACACGCTCAGTCTGAGGTTATTTAGCAAGAAAATCCTTTCTTTCTTTCAAACTTAGCTGTTGCTTTTTAGTTTCATTTTTTGTTTGCTTGTTTTTAAATGACAGAGGCTGAAACACTTCCACACACATAACAAAGCTGCCCAGGATATTTTCTCCCCTCCCCATCACTCTATACATTAAAAAAAAAAATCTCATGTGAGCAACTGAAACACATAGATTGCATTAATTTCTAAGTCTTAGTCTGGCAAAGACTTATGTACTTGAGTATTTCCACTGTTTTTGAAATAACTCTTCACATGCGTAAAATCAATCAATCATGTAAATTTTTGTCACAGCAGGACTCAAACTGTGCTTTCTTCAGTCCAGTCACACGACCACATCCACCCTGGTGGAGTCTTAGGCTCTACCGAGATCTTTTCCACGCTGCTGCCAGTTCAACATAGCGAGTCAGCAGCCACCGGGCTACTCCAGCCTTTGTCCCTCCATGGTGCTTACTCAACCACTGCTGTCCCCCCTCTTTCTCATTTCCAGTTTATTCCCACCAGTCAGACAAGGTACAGCATTACACTGATTTGACTCTGCCCCTCTTCTTTCTGGAAGCTATAACATGCATCCCCTGATGACTTCAGAGGATGCACCAGGCTCAGCAGAATTTACTGTGACAGGTCTTCAGGGCAAAAGTTGCACCTTCCTATGTGTTTCCCTGGACAAAGTATGAAATATGAGCCCTCGAATTTGCCTGAAGTCCCTGGATATTGCTACAATAAACTGACCTCCCTCATAAGACTATTTTTCAGGGGTGTGCATGTGAGCAGAAATGAACTTATGCTTACAGAGCTCCCCGTGGTCAAAGCAAGAAAAAGAAAGGATAGATGGGAAGGCTGCAAGGTAACCCCCACAAGTTATGACAGGAAACAACCCCACTGAGCAAAGAGATTCACAAGACATAAGAGGAAACAGGCCTCACTACCAGAGCCAGAAACACCTTCAAAGGCACGGAGATGCCTGTAGATTCCTTTCCATAAGCCACTCCCCAGACATATCAGGCTACCTGCACAGCGCAGGCAGAGAAGGCCATCATAGCAGCAGAAGGGAAAGCAGAAGCCCAGCATCTTGGGAAAGCTGCCCATCTGGTTTATAGGAGGGAAAACTTGGTATGACTGCATTTCAGCACTAGATGCCAATAAATAAATGAATAGTCACGGCCAAGCACACCCTGCAGAAAAGAATGCTTTCTGTACCCAAGCCGTTGCACCAACCTGTGTACAGTCTTGTGTACACACACTCTACACAGCCACAGCAACAAAAGGGCAATGGCGTCTGTGTAGGACTTCAGAAACTGTCTAATGAAAGCCCTTCAGAGTTGATTTCCAGGCTCTGCCACAGGACTCCAGGTACCAGTGCTTGGTGTGCTTCTGGTTTTCAGGCAGTGTAAGAGCTTGTGGCAGCTTCAGGCCATTTCCCTTCCTTTGGCCATTTGCCCACATGTTCACAGCAGGAACATGCTGTGATGGTGCCTTTGTAGGTACAAGCATGTCCCCATATGTGTCTTCTTCATTCACCAAACTGCCCTGTGCCTACAGAGCCTCGCAACTGTGAGGCCTCTTCCCTATAGCCTGCTCCTTCGAGGTGCTTCTCTGAAAAATCAGCAAAAATCACTCTTGTTGTAAGTAGATTTTTCAGGATATTTCTTCTCCCATCAAATTCAAGATGGTCTTGTATAAAAATCACTTTAAGGTTGCTGACACCACAACTTAAAACTTGCCAGCGAAGCTTGTGCTGTCTAATCAGCTCCTGCTTAGTTACCAACCCACAAGCCTGCAGTGACTTGAACTTCGAGGCTTTTCCCTTCTCATGCAGCTCAGCTGCACCGGGTGGGGGTGTTTCACCTCCTTGTCTAAGGGCCAACACAATGAGATGGCTGCTACGTGCCAAATTTCTTTTAGTGCCCTAAAACTGAGCTAATCACATCTCATGTTTTAGTACCATGAGCTGTGGGACAGGATTTTGGATCTTCACAGATTGCTATGAGGTGAAGAGAAACTTGCTGCAGAGGACACCATCAGAGAGAGGTGCAAGAAGCCTTGAGAAAGATTACCCTTCCTCCTCCTCCTCCTCCTCCTCCTTTCAGCGCGCAGCCATGGCTGTACATAATTCCCTTGGCTGTGAGCCCAGCTCCAGGGAGTAAAAGCAAAGGCGGCTGCCATTAGAGCGCCAAGGAGAGAGCGATGCCCAGCTCTGCCCTTTCTTTCCCTCCCTGCACCGAGAGCTGGGAAGCTGGGACGCATCCTCTTCCCTCGACAGCAGGGAACTGGCAGCAGCCATCTTTAGTCACGTTTCCTGCCTAAGTAGTAAGCAAAAAAACTTCTGAAGTGTCACTTGATCACAATTTTCACCATCCCTGTGCACGTACAGTCTCTGATAACTGCGTATACACCCTTTTTTGTTGTTAAGGCAGACAGTTTACACTGCGAGATACAGTCTCTGGAGTAGGGCACAGTTACTGTTTAATTATGTGCTGCAACTCCTTTGGTCCTGAATCACCCTGGTTCAGCTCGCTGCAGCCTGAGTCTGGCTTTGTCTTTGTGGCCTTGCATTTAAATAGCTGATAGAAATTCTTCAGGCCTGAAAAGATACATGACCTGTCTGGCAGCAGAGAATGAAGAAAACTAACTCTTTTGAGCAAAAATGTCAGGGAGTTTACAGCAAATTTGTCAAATTATTTGGCAGATGACAAAATGCAACAAAACCAACCAGTTATTTAAAGGCTGTGTTATCTGGTAAACCAAGTGATGTAAGTATAAATAAATAAGTATTCTAATAATAGAATCATAGCTATAAATACCTTGATTTAATAAGTAGATATTTTTTACTGTTTGTATAAAGAAAAAAAGTTTTTACAAAGCTTTTAACGCCAGATATTAATAAGAATACCTTCAGGTATTAAATGAAAATGCAACCACAGTTTTGCTGAAATTTAAAATATTCCCTTCAGGAGCCCACAGATCCCAGACATGATAGCACTTGCCTAAAATAAAATAATAAATATATATATATATAAAGAGAGAAAGAGGCAGCGCAAACGAAAAGTCAATACTAGGTCTGATTTTTGGAAGTTCCTTCAGAGTTAATACTGGCTAGAGTCCTGTACACATCAAATGCTCTCATCTTTATGCCATTTGGGTGCGCAACCTGGCTGCAGAGCCAGGGGAAGAGACCTGTGGCAAACCCTCAGCATCGCTAGGCTGAGGCTCATCACTTGCTCCCAAGGCTGATGCCAATCACACTACACCGCTGCTCCAGACAGGCATTGAGTCATGTGGTACGGAAGGTTTTATATGATTAAAGCCTAAATTATTGTGCTTGGACCTTGAAAATTTCTCACCGACAGGATTTCACATCAGGACCAGTCACAGAGTAATGGAGAGATCAGGTGATTATTAAGTAGAAGCACGTATCAGACCTGATAAAAATGATGAACCATTAACCCAACATGAAGAAACCCCAAATTTCTAGTGGGAATTGCTTGTGGGAGCAGAGGAGAACCCTGTGTCTTACACAGGGTATAGTTTTACTTGCTGTATATTCACACAAGTATATAATCTTAAGGCACTTCCCTTCCGTACTCCCTAGGACTCCTTCCCACCCTGAGCCCCAGCACACTGCACCAGCACAGCATTTTGAGCAAGGATTGGTGTTAGCCAAAAAAAGCCATTCTGGCAAAATAAATAAATAAATTAACATCTAGTAGCTAAACATAATGTAGTCACATGCTACTATATCTGTACTGAGACACTATATGGAAACTATTACAACATTATTAGCAAAGAATGCAAATAAGGTATATTTAATGGTAGTCTGAAGACGCACTTTTAAATACTACACCAAGTATTTCATTTTGCAAGGGCCAAAAGTAAATTATTATGAAAAGCACAGTTATTTCCCTCAGCCTTATAATTTTTGTTAGATAATTTTGTATAACACTAAATACAAATACATTGTATCTTCTGCAGGATTCCAACATGAGGGAAAGGAGTTGATTAATCAAATTACAATAATGTTTCCAGTGTAAATTTTCTTACATAATAACTTCTCATGACACAAAAAATATGAATTGTTCCCAATGAAGCACTGAAAGATGAATTAAAAATCACTATGAAACTACTCCTGGCCTTCATTTTACCTTTTCTCTTTTTGATCCTAATCTTGCTAAGACTGACATATCCACTGAACCTCAAGCATGAGAGTATTCCTCTTCCATTAAATGTGTCCACGACATTCTTAACAATAGAAGTTTAACCTGAGCTTTTTTTTAAAAATTATTTATAAGGAGTTGGTGGATCAGAGGGCTGCGTGGTTTTCTCTTATCCCCACCGGTTACAAGCTTTTTCTCTTGACAGCAAAAAGCATATTTTTATTTGTATGAGACTTCAACACTGAGCTGGGAAGGTGGGCTTGGGACTGCCCAAAACAGAGGCCAACACATGAGAGCTGCTCAGGGGCAGGAGCTTTCCTGAACTATCAGGAAAGAGGAGTATCAACTGTTTTTTCAATAACTCTTTAACAAATTATTTTGGCAAATTATCTCCTTCACAAGGAAGTGTTTGCTCCTAGAAGACACTTTTGCAAGGCTTCTCCCTACAGAGCCTCAGTTGAGGTGAGAGAATATGGCAGAGATGCCTGCACACTGCCAGTACATTTAATGAGATAATTACTGCCTCTTGTTTGTTTAATGGTTATTGGCTTAGCATATTTGCAGCCCAGAAAAGAAAGCATTCATCGTTCCCACATGTGCACGGCCATAGCCCGAGCAATGCAAGAGCCACCTGGGCTCTGCTCTGCAGAGGGAAGAGGAGGTGAGTCTGAGCACAGCTGGCACCAGCTTCTGCAGCTGCTGTCCTGCCAGAAGGGTGAAGGGTTGCTGCAGGATTAGTACAACCTGTAATCACAGCCTCTTCAGGCCTTGGAGAGCCACCATGTCTTGCTTGGTACCCAAGCGGGATGCCAAAAGCAGCTGGAGGGGCTGTGTCACACAGCTGGGAGGTGAGAGTATCCAGAGCTGCTGACTGCAGCCTTGTGTGTGTGTCCTGAAGGGAGATTTTGTAGGCAGAATGAAACACTGCCATCACCAGAGCTGTATTTTGCCTCACCTCAATTGGAATCGTGGAATCACAGAATGCATTGGTTTGCAAAGGACCTTTAAAGATCATTTAGTCCAGCCCCCGTGCAGTAAGCAGGGACAATGTTACTGGATCAGGTTGCTCAGAGCCCCATCAAGCCTGACCTTGAATATCTACAGGGATGGGGCCTCCACTGTCTCTCTGGGCAACCTCTTCCAGTGATCTACCACCCTCATATTGAAGAACTTCTTCCTAATATCCAACCTAAATCTAGCCTTTTCTAGTTTAAAACCTTGTCCTACCGCTACATACCTTAGTGAA